TTTTTAATACTGCCAGATGAAAAGTCCATTTTGTAATAATCATAATATGAAATGAGTAATAATAATGACTGGAAGAGAAGCATAGAAAATACAGTTTTCTTGAACATAACATATACATAAGCAGGAAAGTAAGTAAAATAAAAATCAAGTAATGTTAGAGGACAAAAGTATCTTAATTATCTGTATAAACACTGAAAATATAATGATTTCCTGAGAAAAGGAGAAAATTTTTGTACTGCTGTGTACTCTGTCCTATGACCACAAATTAAATAATTTTCATTTTTTTGAGAGGCAGACATAAAGGAGGAGAGAGAGACACCTCCTGTTGGCAGATTCACTACCCAAATGCCCACAATGGTTGAGACTAAGCAGGGAAAATGCCAAAGTCAAAAACTCAGTCCAGGTCTCCCACTTCAGGTCTCCACACCATCATTGCCTCCCAGGGTTTGCATTAGCAGGAAACACTACTCAAGACCTGATGCCAGAAATTGAACACTGGTTGACCAGTACGAGATGTGGCTATCTTAACTGCTAGACAAAATAGTACTTTAAGCTTTTAAATACAAGTAACTCCATGTTGTCACATAGAGGCAAAATGGAAGCAACTCAAGCATTTTTCCCTTTGGTTACATAGTTATTGGTTTGAATCCATGGTTTTAAACATATGAAGCCATAGGACCCAAAGAGTGTTATCCAGACGAACCCAAGTGATTCCAAAATATTTCAATTTAGTTTCAAAAAGAATGGGGATGGCTGCCTCTGATGGGGGGTTCTTGGACAATTTCCACATGGAAGAGAATGTTTACTATTGAATAATATATTTCTTATGATTTGAAGATTACATACAAGGGTACTTCAAAAAGTTTGTGGAAAATTGGAGAACAAAAATATAAATAAGGTGGGCTTTTAACCTAGTGGTTAAGATGCCTGCATCCCATATCAGATTTCCTGGGTTTAATAACTGGCTCTGACTTCTGACTCCAGCTTCCTGCTACTGTAGATCCTGAGAGGCATATTTTAATTAATTCAGTCCCTGCCACTCGCATGGGAGATATGGATTGAGTTCCAATCCCTGGGCTTTTACCTCAGGTAGGTGCCATTGCAGGCATTTGGGAAGTAAATAGGTTCTCTCTCTCTCTCTCTAATATATTTAAAAACATTTTTTTTTCTTGAAAAGAACTCTATTTTGGTATAAATTTTTGAAATCCATCATATGCATATATATTATTAAAACTCAATAGTAACCACAAAATTGCATAAAACTTGGCCAACAAGATGTTTCAGGTGGGGTTATTTTATCATTGGCATAGTTCAGAATTGATCAAGCATGGAGGAAGTAAAAAACAGAGTGACTTTGAGTTTACTATTTATTTTAGCTTATTATTGTTCAAAGATTCTTATTATTTAAAATTTTTAAATTCTCTACAGACAATAAATTGCTTGTACTGGAAGCAGGGCACTCTCATTGCCCTTTTCTTTGTGTGCCACTTTGGAAAAGATTAATTTAACTTTAAATACAATTTGAGAAGAGAAAAATTAAAAATGAAGTTATCCATTTCTGTTTGCCTTTCATAGTTAGTAGGTATCCAGTAACTACTTTTTGAATTCCCAAGTAGAAGAGAGAATGAAGACTGATGGCACCCCCCAGAAGAGGGCTGTGGAGTGAGAAGGAGTAGCATGTCAGTGTTAGACCCCACTGCAGAGGAGCCAGGACATCAGCACTTTAGAAAGGGAAGTGAGCAGTACACCAAAGAGCTGATGTCAACTGTCAGTGACTGTCCTGGGGTTGGGGTGGAAGAGCAGAAGCAAGTCCGTTTTTCTAAGCTTAACTTCCCATCTTACTCATTTTGCTTCTACCTTTGACCAGGGTTAGCCATGTATGTTTTCCCCTTTCTCTGCTCAGTTCCTGAGAAGACCCCTCCTACTCTTCCTTTTTGTGGCTTATCTGCTTCTGATAGTGCATAGTGAAACTGTGCAAAACAGTGAACACTAAAGTGCATCCCAAGGTCACCCAGAACATTTGCATCAAATGTGTGGCAGAAATAGTGGGTAGGTTGCATTGAAGAGTTTCTGAACTTCCTTCTGAGGCTCAGTTGTCTCTTGCTGACTTGGAGTTGGCAGAGGAAATCTGCCATCCTTTGCAGCCATTTTTGTACACTTCCTCTCTAGACAAAACAAGGGCAACCAAGAAGTACAACTCTTGGAGACAGTTCTTAATCATTCTTTTTTAGTCCTCATCATCCTGTCCAATTGCCAAAAAAAATAAGAATGTCTTATAACTTGTTTAAAGTTTAGTCCTCCTTCTCCTAATTGCTAATCAAAAATAGAACTTTAATGAACCTATTAAGATGGCTACTATAAAAGGAAGGAAGGGAGGGAGGAAGGAAAGAAGGAAGGGAGGGAGGAAGGAAAGAAGGAAGGGAGGGAGGAAGGAAAGAAGGAAAAGAAAGAAAATAAAGGAAAAGGGGCCAGTGCCGCGGCTCAATAGGCTAATCCTCCACCTAGCAGTGCTGGCAAACCAGGTTCTAGTCCCGGTCAGGGCGCCGGATTCTTTCCCGGTTGCCCCTCTTCCAGGCCAGCTCTCTGCTGTGGCCCAGGAAGGCAGTGGAGGATGGCCCAAGTGCTTGGGCTCTGCACCCCATGGGAGACCAGGAGAAGTACCTGGCTCCTGCCTTCGGATTGGCGCGGAGCGCCGGCCACAGCGCTCTGGCCGCAGCGGCCATTGGAGGGTGAACCAATGGCAAAGGAAGACCTTTCTCTCTGTCTCTCTCACTGTCCACTCTGCCTGTTAAAAAAAAAAAAAAAAAAAAAAAAAAGAAAATAAAGGAAAAGGAAAGAAAATAAAAGAACAAGTACTGGAGACAATGTGGAGAAATCAGAATCCTTGCATTGTCAATGAAGATATAAAATGATACAGCCACTGTGGAAAATTATGGCAGTTCTTAAAAAAATAAAAATAAATAAAGTTAACAAATGAACCAACAACTTCATCTTTGGGCATACAACAAAAAGAATTGAAAGCAGGATCTTGAAAAGATATTTGCACATCCATGTTTATGGAAGTATTGCAATGTTCAAAAGGTAGAAGCAGGGGCAGGTGCTGTGGCACAATGGGTTCAGCTAATGGCTGTAATGCCAGCATAATCCACCATATCACAATGCAGGCAGGACTGCTGGTTCTAGTCCTGGCTGCTTCACTTCCAATCCAGCTCCCTGCTCATGCAGCCGGGAAAGAAGTGAAAGATGGCCCAAGTGCTTGGGTCCCTGCACCCACATGGGAGTCCCAGACGGAGTCCTGGCTCCTGGCTTCATCCTGGCCCAGCCTTAGCTATTACAGCCTTTTAGGGGATTGGAGATCGATCCTTCTTTCTCTCCCCCCTCACCCCGCCTGTCTGTAATTCTGCTTTTCAAATAAATAAGTCAATCTTAAGTAAATAAATAAGGTAAAAGCACCCTAAAAGTCCAAAGATGGATGGTAAACCAGATATGGTATATACATACAATAGGATATTATTCAGTCTTAAAAATGAAGGAAATCAGATACATGCTACAATATGGATGAACTTTTATGCTAGATGAAATAAGCCAGGCACAAAAAGACAGATAATGTATGATTTCACTTATATGAGGCGCCAAGAATAGTCAATTCATAGAGACAGAAAGTGAGATGGTAGTTTTCGGGGACTGGAGGGAATAGGGCATGGGGACAATTGGGTATCGAGTTTCAGTTTGAGAAGATGAAAAAGTTCTGGTGATGGATGGTGGTGCTGATTACACAATAATGTGAATGTACTACTACTGCCGAGCTGTACACTTTTAAAAATGTTTAACATTAACATTTTCTGTTATATGAATCTTACTACAGTTTTTAAAATTAAAAATAGAACCTCAACTTTGATGGTTACATGCTGGTCTTAATAAACATACAGAGAACTACTTCAAGGCAGTTAGTCTGGCCCTGTGGACCACATAACCTTGCTCATGCCAAAGAGGTTTTGAAATCCTTGGGGTTGATGGGGGTGGTTCAAACAGGACATGTGGTTGAATGGTGTTAAGTCAGAGAGAACAATAGAGGATATCGAAGAAATAGAAGCAAGGAAGTGAAATGTGCACCTCTGTCTAATTGGATGATGCGTACTGAGACTGAAGGTCTACCTCTGTAGCTCCCCTGCATTGTATGGGAGGTGCACTATAGGCTTTGACTCCTGCTGCAGCTTAGGTAAGATGACTCAAGGAAAAAAACTTTTTTTTTTTTTTTGCAAAATGAAATAAGTGACTCAGCAAAATTAGATGTTATATGAATTAAAAGCAAAGTCTTAAAGAACAGACACCCTCAACAGTTGTACTGTTATGTAGATATATTGATATTTAGGTTACCAGGACACAGGTAGCAGGGGTCATTAATGAAAGAAAGCTATGATTACTATGGAGACTATTTGGCAGTAAGAAAACACAGTAATGTGCTTTGATTTATGCCTTTCCTCCCTGGGGCTCACATATGTAATCATTTCTCTCACAATATACTACGAACATAGAGAGGAATGGCTATGATTATCTCCAGTTTATAGAAGGTGAAACTGAGGCACAGAGAATAATTTGGGTGTGAGCTAGTGATTCATTGGCAGGGTTGGAAGTAGAAAACAACGTTCTAGATTCCTAGGCCCAAGGCCTCTTGGCTATAAATAGTTCGCCTCTGTCTGTTGATCTGGCTCAGCAAAGCTGTACCTCAAAGTCTTAAAAAACAGTAAGAGTTTGAGCTCTCCCAGCAAGGAAGCCACACAAGGGGATTCGGACTTTCAGGTTCCTGCAGGGCTGAGAGACAGAGTGGATGATGGTCATGTGACTTCAACAGCACTCCGAGAGCATCAATTTTCCTGACTGTCAAATTTCACTCTTTCTCACTTCACGTTAGCAAGAAAATGAGAATTTCATTTTCTTGGCTTAGAAGTCACAAGCCCTGGTTAAGTGCCTCACTGAATAAGTGGCCCTTCTGTGTTCAGGGAGAGACCACCCCGTGACCCAGAGATGCGGTTTCGCAACATGCAGATGGAGGTTCTCAGAAGTCCTCCGCTGGAGCAGCTAAATAGGACTGAGACAACGCGATCCCAGAGACAAAGGTCAGCCCTATTTTAATCTCTGAGTGAGGCTATGACTCTGGGACAAGGCCCTTCTTGTCTGATTTCCTTCTATTTTCAGTGATTCACAAGCCGAAATCTCTTTCATCTGCCACTGCAGAGCCACATCCCCCTTTCAGATTTGTTTGTAAGTTAAAATAGTTCCCATCCTCAATCTCCTTGGAGTGTCTTCTTACAGCCATAGAATTCCTCAGGCTGTGAGCCTAGAGGAGTCCCTGGGGAGGCAGAGACCAGCTTGGAATGCAAACCCTCCCGGGAAGAACCCAGAGTGCAGCAGGAAGTGGGGTTGCTGCTTGCTTGGATGGTCCCACAGAGGCGGAGAGCCAATAACCCAGCAGGTTACAGGCGCTTGCTTCTTGAAGAGTTCACCAGAACTCCGGAAGGCTGTAGCATCTTATTTGGACATATGCTTACCCCGTGCTGATGGCTAAAGTGAATTCTTTCCAGTGTGTTAGTCACAGCCCTGATGTTCTAGTTATTCAATGATGTTAGTGTGAAAGTGGCTCCCTTAGTTTCTTATCAGCTCAAGTCTCATGTTCAGTAATGATTGGTCCACTTGGATCACTGGGAACTAGCATTGGCTTCATACATTTTTTTAAGATTTATTTTTATTTATTTGAAAGGCAGAGTTACATAGAAAGAGAGGAAGAGATCGAGAAGGAGAGACTTTAATCTACTGGTTTTTCACTCCCCAAATGGCCGTAACGGCCAGGAGTAGGCCAAATTGAAGATAGGAGCCTGGGGCTTCTTCCAGGTCTCCCACATGTATGTAGAGCCCAAGCACTAGGGCCATCTTCTGCTGCTCTCCCAGACACACCAGCAGTAAGCGAGATGGGAAGTAGAGCAGCTGGGACTCGAACCAGTGTCCTATGGGATGCTGGTGTCTCAACAATGCTGGCCCCTGAGCCTCATATTTTTGGGCTATTTCTGTTTATCCCATTTTCATATATCCTGTGAGTTTTGCATTTGCTAACTCTCATCTTTTTCCTTGTAATTACATTTACTGAGGAAATCTCCCAAATCACTATTTGTTTTAATACCTCAGTTTGATGCAGTCAGAGAAGAATTTCAGTAAGGTAGCTCAGGTTAGCCTTCAGGGGATTATTTAGAGTAATAATAAGGAGTTGCCACTGTTGGAGTATGTGCTCCTTGCCAGGAACTAAGCAAGTGCTTTGCATATATTATCTAATTTAATCTACGTGAGAATCCTGTGAGAGCATTTTACAGACGATAAAACAAAATTAAGGCATGTTAGGTAATTTTCCCTAAGTTACACAGTTAGATCCTGGACAGAATAAGAGTTTCATTTCAGATTTTCACAACACTTTTACTGAAACTGACAATTCCTGCTTGACCTTCTACCCAAAGTCATTGTGTTGGTGGGTAGCATAAAATGATGTTTTCTGATTTTTCTTACTTTTCCTCTTTCTCTCCCCTTTTATTTTTAAGGAAAAGATCCCTAAAGTCAATGAGAAACTCTGTTGTGCTGCCCTTTTGTTTAGAAGAGGAAATGTGAACTTTGCAATCGTTCCACACATTCTTGCCACTTCCCTAAATCAAAGAGAAAAAAAGACTCGCAAAAACATGGCTAGGATGCATGTTTTCATACCAAAAGGTCAAAACCCAAATATCTCCTAGCTGGCCACAAAGAAATAGTGGGAAGAGAGCCTGGTCACAAAACCACCAGGAGTTGCAAAGAATAAATAAATAAGAGGAATTTTGCTGGGGGTGGGGATGGAGAGAGAAAGGATTAACATTTTGTTTCGGAGCTCTGATCCAAATCTAATGTTTTCAGACGTAAAAATCTAACACAAGACAGAAGGTAAAAATCTAACACAAGACAGAAGGCCTTCGGAGTTGCTTGTGTCAGTGCTCTGCCCACGATGTAAAGTTAAGAACAGATTACCCCTTCCCTCCCCCACTCTTTATTGTTTAGGCCAAGCAAATCACACAATGTATTATTTTTGCTGTGGGCCTCTATCTGCACCTCTGAGCAGGGTGGAGAGTTTAGCTAATTAGCCATAATTTCTGGCCAAAACAAAATTGTTTTGCCTTTAATACCTGGTAAAAGTGTTGGGAAGACTGAATTATTTACACAGATTTTACCTTTGCTTGGTATAAACAGTTATTTTCTGTTTAGGCCATTTCAATTGATTGTTCCAGATTTTTAAGTTACTAGACTTATCTCTGCTCGCAAAGGGAGAAGTAGCTTCATGTTCCTTGGAGATTTGGTTTTCAGGTCACTAACAATGGTAAGGAAGGAAACAAACAGGCGTTCTTGGCTACGACTGCACCTTAGAATCACCTGGGAAGCTTTTAGAAATATACTGGCAGTGGTCATTTGCTCCAGCAGTTCAGAGGCCCCTTGGGGAATGACATCCCATATTGAGGTGCCTGGGTACAACTCCTGGCTCAGCTTCCAGTTCCAATTTCCTGTTGATTTATGCACACTCTGGGAAGCAGCAAATGATGGTTCAAGTATTTGAATCCCTGACACTTATATAGAAGACTCAGATTGAATTCTGGGCTCTTGGCTTCCATTTGGCCCAACCTAGCCCTCTAGCCCTAGCTGTTGACAGCATCTGGGGAGTGAACCAGGGGGATGGAGGATCTCTCTCTCTCTCTCTCTCTCTCTCTCCTCTCTCTGCCCTCCAATAAAAAATAAATAAATACAAATTTTAAAATTATATTGATGGCCTGGCCCTATCTGAGGCAAACTGAATAAGGATCTGTGGATAGAGTTAAGAGCTCCCTGGATTTTGAAAGTGGTCTGGGGCTGGGGCTGTGGTGCAGTGCGTTAATGCCCTGGCCTGAAGCGCTGGCATCCCATATGGGCGCCAGTTCAAGACCCGGCTGTTCCACTTCCCATCCAACTCTCTGCTATGGCCTGGAAAAGCAGTAGAAAATGGCCCAAGTTCTTTTGCCCCTGCACCTGCATGGGAGACCAGGAAGAAGCTCCTGGCTCCTGGCTTTGGATCGGCTCAGCTCCGGCCGTTGTGGCTAATTGGGGAGTAAACCAGCAGATGGAAGACCCCTCTTTCTCTCTGCCTCTCCTCTCTCTGTGTAACTCTGACTATCAAATAAACAAATCAATCTTTTTTAAAAAAGTGGTCATAGTAGAGAGAGAGAGAGGAAGAGAGAGAGAGATTGCTTCAAATGCTGCAATAGCTAGGTCTGAGCCAGGCCCAAACCAGGAGCCTGAAACTGTGTTTCTCATGGGTCTCTCATGTGAATGATAAGGACCCAAATACTTCAGACATTACCAGCTGCCTCCCAAGATGCATGTTAGCTAGAAGCTGGGATCAGGAGAGGATCCAGGACTGGACCCAGGCACCCCGATGTGGGAAGTGAACAATCCAAATGACGACATCTTTACCACTGTGCCAAGTGACAGCCTCTCAAAATGATTCTAAACAACAACAACAACAAAGAAAAAGAACAACGTCTGAACAGAACATGTAGAGACTTTTAAATCATTATTCCCTAACCAGTATAATATAACAACTATTTATTCAGCATTTATGCTGTATTGATCATTATAAGTAATCTAGATTTATCCTGGGGGCAGGGTACGCATAAGTTATATGCAAACACTATGCCATTTTATGTCAGGGACTCCAGTATCTATGGATTCTGGTATCCATGGGGGTCCCAGAGACAATCCCCTGTGGATACAGAAAAACATCTGTATAAAAAAGCAAGAGAGTACTTCAGTTCTATAACCTCACTGGTCCACAGACATTTGGATTTTAAGAATAAAAATCAAAGAGAAATGAGGCAAACCTGCAGTGTAGATTTATCTTCTTGCCTTTTCTCACTAACATTGTGGCCTTTAAAAACAGTTCTCAAGCTAGTCATGAAAGCAAATTCTAAAACACAAAAGTTCTTTCAGAAAGATTAAAAAGCAAGTCTCTGTGCTCTGATGAGTACTGCTGAATAGGGAAGAACAACACTGACCAAAGAAGCCTATTTTATAATTATTCATGCATTACTTTCACCAAGTCCCTTATACTTTGCTATCCATTGGTACAGGTGCAATGATTTCCCATGTCTATTTGATAAAGTAGAGGCTCTCAAACTCTTTTACATATCAAAATTACCCAGAGAAATGGATAAAATGCAGATTTCTAGGCCCATTCCCAGAGTTTCTGATTCAGTGGATCTGGGGTGAGGCCCCAAAATTTGAATTTATAACAACAACCCAGATCATGCTGATGTTGCTGGTCCTGGGACCATGGCAGACTAAGGAAGAACTTGAATACCTCTCTTTACAAAGCTAATTACATGAGGCAGCTGTTACAGTGCTGCTTGCAAGGCTGACATCCCCTGTTGAAGTGCCAGTTCAAGGCCTGGCTGCTCTGTTTCCTATCCAGCTTCCTGCTAGTGTGCTTGGGAAGGTAGTGAATGATGGCTTGAGTGCTTGGGGTTCTTCCACGCATGTGGGAGACCAGGATGGAGTTGCTGGTTCCTGGCTTAATCCTGGACCAGACCTGGTTGTTGTGGCCATTTGGGGGCATAAACTATTGGATGGAAGATCTCTTTTTCCCTCTGTCTCTGTCTCTCTCTCTCTGTCACTCTGCCTTTCAAATAAATCTTGAAAAAATTAAATTAAGTAAGAAAATTCAGCTGAAAAATGAAGATTGAATAGTAAAATAGAGCAATACATGAAAGAGCACTTCAAACAGCTCACAGAAACTGTGTATTCAAAACTATTTAGAAATTTCTAAATATTTTGCATCAAAATAAACTTACCCTTTAATTCCATTTTCTATGAGCTTTTCTTAATGCCCTCGTCCATATAGGAAGTGACTATTTTGAGAAGAAAAAGAAAATAAAATGTATTTCGTTATCAAAATATAAATTTGAGAATATTAATTCTATAAAGCAAATTCTGGTTTTGAGCTTTTTTTCTTATTTGTGAAACTTATTTGAAACTTAAGTAATATAACACTTAGCTGCTCTAAAATGAAGTCCAAATGGAAAATTTCCCAGCTCAACCTGGGGATAGCAGCCAATGATGTGAGATTCCATTCCGTTCTTCCTTATATACGTAAGCTGCTTTCAAACAGAATACAATAAAATGGAATGAGCAGTGGCATACCTGTTTTATTTAATAAAAGTGTATACAGCAAGATAACTAAACTGAAAAAGTATTTATTTGGAGACTTGAAATTTTTAGATTCGTTATCTACACAGAAACACAAAGTCAAAAGCAGAGGTAGTCGGAGTCAACATGCAAGCCAGGTGGAGGCTGTGGGCCTGGCTCCATGTTTAAAGAGGGTAACAGCAACCTATGTTGTCACATGGTGGATTTATCAAGAGAAACCAGAGATTGGATTTTTATAACATGTCATGAATTTTAAGGCCAACCATCCAATTTTCAAAAACAATACTATGTGAATTAAATAAAACACTTGTAGGTCAGATTTGGCCCTGTAAATTCCAGTCTTCAGGGACTAAGTTGACCTGGTTAATTACCAATTCCTTTTTTGCACTCTGGCCAGGTCTCTGCTCAGGTAGCAAATCAGACCAGAGCCTGACAATTTGTCGATTCTTATTTGTATGGTTTTTCTTTAGCTCCGTGGTTCTCAGAGTGTGGTCCTAAATCATGTCGGAATCAACTGGGAGCTTGTTAGAAACCGGCATTTTGTGGCCACTAAGAGCTTCACTGAATGAGAAGCCTTGGGAGCCAGAAATCTGTGTTTTAGCAAACTACTCTGTGAGATGCTGATGCCTACTAGCAGTCTGAGGGCCGTTAGCTTATCTGAGGAGAACCTAAGG